GAAATCTAGGCTTCATCCTGAAGGAAACATTTGGCCATATCACTGCTCTGCAGTCTACAATCGCTTCTGAGTCAAAAATGGACACAAGATGATTCTGCTCCCAAGCAAGCGCTGCTGCTGCAGCGTGGGATTATCTAGCCACGTCCACCAGCGCTGAAGCCTGGTTTTCTAAAACGAAGCCCTCGCTGCCTCCCCCACACCCCCCTGGTATTCAAAGGATACATGGAATTTCTACAGACCATTCAGAATCAGATTATCTGGAAAGCACAAGTGTGTTGGCTATTTATTAAGATCTTAGCAGCTACCACCACACCCAAAATTAAGTGGCACACAAGAACTGGGGGTTGTGTGCTTCAGCCTAGAAAAGCCCTGCCAGTATTAGAGAAGTCTTGCTTCACCGAAGTGTGATCTTTCTACCTTAGAGAAACCTGCTGAAATGCTTGAACCAACTACGGGGAACAACAAAACTGGGAAGAATCATTTAATATCTGCATAAACAGAAAGACACCTCAAACTGACCTTCAGGTTACATTCTCTTAGATAAGACTGCATATCATACAGTGATGCTACATGAGTTTTCATTAAGATCTGCTGAAGTAAACAAGAAATACAGTATGATCCAGGAACGAGCTGGGGTATAGAACTTGCAAAAATCTTCCAGAGGGAGATGATCAATTCTTCGTAATCGGAAAGCCATCTACTTAAAAAAAAAAAAAAAAACACAACACAAAAAAAAAAGCAGCAGGTAAATTTTGCATGTACACACTCAAACTGAAATAAAAGGAACATCAGCAGTTTTAATACCCGAGAAAGCAAAATTATTATAGCTTCTAGTGGTTATGTACTGCAGAAGTACACAGAAGAGTGAGGTTTCCTAGCTTCAAGAACCACATGAAAGAAATGACTACAATAAAATAAAATATATAATCTTTATGCAACAAATCATATCTGGTGGTCACTTTTTTATCAATTAATTAAAAATTAAGTTATCAAATCATCATTTAGGAGTGCCTAGACTCTACGCATTTCTTTATGTTTCTCGAAGCACTGTTTTAGCTATGCTTTGATAAGACACCTCTCCATTGGTCTGGTTTTAAATTTTTACTATGCAGCTTATTAATTTCACAGAAAGCTTCCAAGAGTGGACATTTGGTACTGATAAAATTTAAGGAAGCAGCCATTTTTAATGCTGCACTGAATAACTTTTATAGCATCACAATTCCTGTTAACTGCTGCCTACCATTAGGTTTAGAAAACTGAAAAAGGTTAAGCGTGCTGTTCAGGTAAATATGACAGCCGCTCACTAATGAGAATAAAAGGACTTTCCAGTCCAAAACCTGACTTCCCATTTATAATGAAGTTACTCCTTCAAAATCAACAAACATACAAGATCTATAAACATTCAGGTGTCCAACTCTGGGCTAAGTCAGCCAAAGAAAAAAGCAAGATTATATCGTGCTTTACTTTAAAGCTGAATTCAAGTTGTTATACATTAAATACTATGTAATACAGCTTGACATAAAAGTATTATCTGTACAACTCTGGACGTTTCATCAGCTGCAAGAACATAAGGCTCCAAGGTGGTATTTCTCAGTGGACACTTACCCTTCAGGAAAGTCTGAAGCTATACATGTACCAGAATTGGTGTAGATGAGCTTTGAGCAGAATCATCTTTTCTTAAACATATTACATACTTGTTTCTTACTATGGAAAGATGAGAATTCTTTTTCCCCATTACTTACTAATGACTCGACTATTTCACAGCTCCCTCATGATGAAAGTAAAACTTGTTATAGGTCATCATCTCTTTAGCAAAGCAACAGAAAAAAAACCACTATCATAGGAACAATTATGACTGTAAAGCCCATGCACCATTAAAAAAAACCCACAAAAAAAAACACTTGACATGGAAAGCACAACACATTTGAGGCTGTTAAAACCTTACTAATTGAAAATACTTTCAAGTGTAAGATTTTTTTTTTTTTTGATGAGTTGATGTCCATAGCTGCAAACTTCCTGCGGAAGTCAGTCAGTAGATTAATATGAAGACTTTTTTTTTTAATTGTATTTTGATTCATAAAGGCACATGTAAAAGCTCACAGGGCAGTCAAATGCCAAACGAACAAGCTTCTGTTACACTAATCCTCTCAAAAGGAACTCAGTCAAGCATGCGTATTGGTTGAGATTATTTCATGCTCTTCATCACTATGGGAGGTATAATCTTATGCTGTATGTAAAATCCTATCCTTTGTCTCTGTGTATTTAATACAATCTACAGTCAGTCTTTCTGAAGGACTTTTCTGATCACTGATACTACTTCCCAAAATGAGGACTGAGATGAATGAGCTATGAGCATCTATTTGTATATTTAATGCATCTATGGAAGCTTTTCTAGCCCAGGCTTCTGCTTCGTCTTACTGGGCAGAATCACTCTACTTCTATTATAGCTCTAGTATGTAATGCACAGCAGTTCTGTTCAAGTTAAGGCTGTGTTATGGTTTACTCGTGCACTACAGTAACACGTGCATAGGCAACTGACCAGGAGAATTTAGTCTGACAAACAACATTCAATGGGTGGGAAAGATACTTAGTTATGTAAAACTATCGGCACAAATATTACTCATCTTGGAAGAGGTGGTATCTATTAAAACCAAACTGACTCTGACATCCTTGAAACAGGAGCTTTGAGACCAAAATCGGAGCATTAAGAATGTGGTGCAGTTTTGGGAAGAAACACTACAGAAGAATAAATATCGTACAGATTGTGTTTGTGGGCAAAAGTGAAGCTGGAGCATTGCTAAGAACATAATGGGGCAGTGCGGGGAAACCTGGTAGTAGCACTGCTAGCAGCCCTAAAGCAAGCAGAATACCAAGCTTAGTAGGAGACTGAAACAAGCACCAACTCAAGGATGCCTCCTACAGGAGAATATATATATACACACTGCTGGAAATCTGCGCTGTGGTTTTAAGCATGTTCAGCTTGCTGCAGCTTCCTGCAGCATCCAGTGCTGTGTTATCATGCAAGATGTCCTTTAACATGAAAAAAAATAAGGGACAGACAATCTCACTGTTAGATTTCTAGTCCAGAACTGAATCTCACACATCAGATAGAAATCACCAATTTTTAAACCAAAATTGAGCCTATGCTGGGATTTCTTTATGAAATGCTACACAAGGCCTGGCCATTAGGTGTCACCTTTGTACAGAATATGTATGACGACATTCTCCACTAAGTTAATCAATAGAACAGTTTGCATAATAAAACCCCTAGTATACCAAGTTTTATAGAGTCCATAGAGCTAGCAAGCCAATATGTTTACAGGTGTTCTGCAAAACAGCTAACAATCCTCAGAATCTATCGTTTCAGTGGATTCACTCAGGTACTTCTTGCAGAGCTTTATACTAAGTTACTTACTAATCTAGGCAGGCTATACGGCTACACAAATTGAAGTGGTTTTATTTCAGTGTATTTCTGCAGGCTAGAATACTCACTTATTTACATTGCTTTTCCCACCCACAACTGGGCGTCGACTTCCTTAGAATGATGGAGGTCCTTTCCACAATAGAATTGATGGACAAGCCACTTAGGATACCTTTGTTGTTTTTCCTCACCTCCAGCAGAGCATCCACAATTTTGTCTCTATGTGAATAAAAGACATAACTGTTTACATCACATTTTGTGCAATACTTTTAGCACTTAGTTACCATGGATATTGGATCCATTACAAATCAGGGCAGAAATGAAATCCAAATACTCTCACCTGCTAGCCTCTGGATGAATTTCTTGAAGTTTCTTCATTAATTTGGTAAAGCTGCTCAAGTTCAATGCATTAGGAGAAATAAAGGCATCATATGAATTAGTGGAGAAAGGAGCAGATGTTTTCTGCAGGAAATTTTCTCCAGTATCCTAGAATTGCATCAAAATAAGCAAAAAGTGAATGGGTTAAGTATTGTACAAGTAATACAACGTATCTTTACTACTAATAAATATTCCTGTTATGGAAAAAGAAAAAGTGAGAGATACAGATTCAGGTCAGTAAGTTATTCTAATACAACCACTCATATTATCCAATCTGTAAATTAGAAATAAGACTACTATATGCATTTATCCAATCTGTAAAGGAGAAATAAGACTACTATATGCATTTATGTGTAACTGACATTCCTGCTACTTTAAATCAGATCCGATTTATATTTCCTAGAGGACTAGCATGTTTAATGTTAAATCCCTGAAAGTAACATATCTATATAGTTTATGAGAGCAACACCAGCAATTACTAACTTTGCCTTATCCTCCAAGGACCAGCCTGAGCAAATACACAATACTATATTTATACATAGAGGTTTCTTAGATTTATATTGAAAACCCCAAGAGTTTTCCCTCCAGTATCCCAAAATCTTTCCTGTATAAAAATCACAAGACATTCACATAAAAAAAGTGTTACAAGTGGAAACTCAAAAGAGGATAAAAGCAAGATGAAAAATCTAGTGCAAATGGCTAGGTTCCCAGCTGGCTTAGGATTAAGAAAAAAAGATGGGAGTATCACAATTTGATGCAGGGACAAATGAATGGTGCTCTCACTCTTCCACAGCAGGCCAGAAATTTATTACTGACACATAACATGTTTTCCTATCCTAACACCATTCTACATATATTAAATGTAACATGTTATGGGACAAGAAGTTTTAAGGCTCTTAATCTGCCATATAAAGGAGCATTAGTAATAATTATTTACCTTTTGATTAACTCCAAGCAAATAATGTACTGAATCCTCAGTAGATGATTTCAGACCAGGGCGCTTTGTTTCTGAAGGTACTTGTGTAGAGCAAGAAATTTTTGAAGAAGTTATGGGAAGGAGATGCACATTCTCAGAAGCAGAGGTGGTGTCAGGTGCTTTCACAGAATTGGAGGCTGAAGTGAGTGATTTATCTTGATCATTTCTTTGACTGTTATCAACAGGTTGGATTTCATGCCAAAGCTTACTCGTAAGTACTTGAGAAACCAAGTATTTATACTCTGACGAAGTATTTACCAGTTCAACACTTACTGGTTTTCCTTTTATTTTTTTCTGGTTCATTTCCTCTACAGCTAACTTTGCTTTATTAGTGTCTTTAAAGGAAATAAATGCATACCTAAGGCATTAAAAAAAAAGGAAACGTATTAAATTACTATCAATAAGAACACATGATGGTTCTCATCTTTTGAATATTAACTGTATCTCCATTAAACTCAACAGAAAATTTCAGACTCCTTAACTTCTCAGAAGATGAGAAGCTGTCTGGAATGACAAGTTTTTGTCAACCTATCTGTATCTACATTAATTACTGAAACAAATTAATGAGCAACTCCCTCCTCCCTCCCATGATTCACTTACTTTGACAGAAAAAAAAAAAAACTGAAACAAGTAAAACTTGTATTAATATACCTGTAGTTACTAGAATCCACAGAGATAAGAGTGTCAGAAATCTGATACTTCTGGAAATGTGATCTTAAATCACCCTACAAAATAGAAGCATGTTTGGTTGCAATGTGTAGTATGAAAGAATTCAGAAAAGAGGCAAGACATTACTACTACTATGTAAATAAGAACAGGCATACCTCTGACACTGAGGAACTTAGGCCACCAACATGAATAAAAGAACACTCATTTCCACTCTCCATTATCTTCGCTTCTAATAATAAACGTTAAGAAAGCAAAGTGTTACTAACTATTCTTGTTTCAGTTCAAGCTAACATCTGCTCTGTAGATTTCGGAACGCATAGATAGAAAACCTTTAAAAAACCTAAAAGAACGAAGAATATCTTCTAACAGAAATTGAGAGTGTCATGAGAAGCAAAACAGTTCAGTTTGTGAAATTTGTTTTCCCTGAGTATTTCCTGAGAGTTGAAGAGGCAGAAGAGGTACAACCAGAGAAAACACTGGTCTGAACTAACAGGTACCAGTGCTAAAGCATGGGTAGTATACTGTGAGTCCCCACCACAGAGCACACAAGCTTTCAACACACTGGGCCTTCTAACCATGCCCATCACCAGGACCCAAGTCTCCAAACACAGACTCCCAGCTAACTCTTAAGAAGCCAGTATGGGGAAGAAAGCAGAAGGAGGAAGAAGAGAAAAAGATTTCCAGCTACACGATTGGCTGGACATTTAATAAATAGAGTTTAACCACCGTAGGTAAAAGTTTTCAAGGAAAAATGCGGATGAAGAGAGCTGAATATCTGTACAAGCATTCACTGCAAAAGTCAACAAAAAAGTAAGTCTGAAAACCCAGCTAGCATTTTTTCCATGTTTACTTACGCTTGTAGAAGGAACAGAATACTCAAATAATAAACAAACACCATTGGCACACATTGTATGGCAGCGTAAACACATGACCTTACCTCTTAAATCAACTGTGTCTTGTTTTTCTTGTTGCTTTTTTGTTTCTTCAGATATTACTGAAAAATCTGCTACTGCCAAGTCCTCTTTAGCATCAAACCAATATTCATTCCCTTCTTCATTTTTCACACAGCCTTGACAGTTGAAATAAATTTCAGTGTGTTAAAATTCAGACCGTGGAATGTCATATGAATGAATATCAAATTTCTGTGAGCTTAAGAGGATTCCAGCTACCTACGTGACTTGGTACTACAGTACAAAGAGGTGACACATACTAGTTTTCACTTCAGATTTAAGTAGCAAATTTTTTTTTCAAGATGTAAAGTATAATATAGAGCTGATATAATGTTAAGCATTCCATCACAGAAAGTTGAGTATCCATATATACGTTTTTACACAGGGTTTGTTTTTTTTTTTCCTCCAACAACTTAACTAACAAATAATGTAGTATTTGTACCAGAAGCAATTGGCTTACCACGTTCCACATCCTGATCTTTACGTTGTTCTTCAAATGTCTTGGAGGAAGTAGTGTCACTTGGCTGACTGCCATCAGTTAAACATACAGTCTGTGGATTGTCCTACAAACATGTTTCAGTTATGTCATAGCACTTGCACCTGATTATATGTTATTTTTCTGAGCTTCAGAATATTAATTGATTAAACAGGTAAATTTTAAAAAGTTAACCTACTGATCATCTTCAAGAACCCCCAAGTTATTTTAAACCCCCAAGTTTATTTTTGAAAGGACGATCAAAATTCTGGTCACATCAGCTGCATTTGTGATTACAGGCAGAGAATTCCAGCTTGAGTCCTGAAGACTGATTGTATTTGCATATACCTAAAAGGAGACTATGCTTCACAACATTAATGTCCATGAAACTCAGTAATGAAGAATTCCCTACCATGCTGACAGAAATCTTCCTTTCTTGCAGTTTTGGTGCTTCAGTGTCAGCTTTTCTTGCACCTGAAACAGAACTAAAACAGATCCAAAAATTTCATACAAAATGCGGCATAACAATTTTAAATTCTACAATGATACCAAGTACTCTGAAATATTTAAATGTTTAATTATTTAAATATTTCCAAAAGCTCACAGTAAAATAAATAAAATGTGCTTAATAAACCTTAGTTTAAAATGAGAACCAAAGTTTTTTGATACCTCTATTTTATAAAAGCATTGGTTGCAACCTGAAACATAAAGCTACGTTCTAGGTTTATGTTAGGCTATTTTTCCTTTTATTCCGAGATGGCTTTCTGTGTGATGTTTCAATGTATGTCTCTACAATTTGAAATCTCTGTGCAATTTTTGATTAATTTTACTAATGCTTAACAAGAAATTTGAAAAAGATCTCTAGTTGTTTACCTGATGCAGTGAAAACTTATTGCCAAATTTGTTTTAATCTCCACTTACATAAAGTATCTGGACATGATTCTTGAACACGCAGTACCACACATCTGCCTGAAATATGAGTTTATTTTTCGATCATTCTTCATAACTGAATGATAATCTTAACAGAACAGCTGCTTATATGCCTAACATTATCTTTGTTGGCAGCAAAGTCTTTTTGTTTTGTTGGGGTTTTGGGGGGTTTTTTTTGTTTGGTTGAGTTGGTTTTCTGGGTTTTTTTAGTTTTGGGTTTTTGGGGGGTTTTTTTGTTGGGGTTTTTTTTACTTGTTTTTTTTTTAAGACAGATAGCATTAAGATTAGAGACAAAGATTTTAGTAGTGAAAGTAGGGAACCAGGAAAATTACCTGTAAATTGAAAACTTTTGCTATAAAGATCCTAAAAATACAACTCCATAGTTTACATATTAGAACACTACAGAGTAAAAATGTCTTTAAAATAAAATCACTGTATCCAAAGTGCTATGTTAGTCTTTCAGCTAAACAGTCTGGAGCAACAAGATACATCCTGAAATAAAGAAATTCTAAGTTTAACATCTTTTAAACTCACTTATTTATTTTGAACTTTAATAAATACCAGAAATTAGGACTACTTACTCATAGCAAAGATCCTCTCTGAACAACTGTCAAAAAAGAGAAGATTTGTCTTAATTTTCTGAAGCAAAATTTATATTAAAAACAAAAAGCAATTAAGAAATTACCTTGCACGGGACATAAGAAGAGGAGATTGGGAACAACTTCATCTCAACTGATAGCGGCGGAAGTGCATTTAAAGGTATGCCCATTTTTATTTTCATTCTCATACTGTTATAATTCTTTTTTAGCTCTTCCAAAACCAACATGAGAGATGAACCTAATTCAGTATTTCCATTACATCTGTTAAAACATATATAAGAAAATAAGATCAATTTAGACAGATATTTCATTTATTTTACTGCTTCCAGAATTGCCCAAACATTTTACAGTATTTAAAGATTCCTCCACATCGCGCAAGAACAGGAGCTCACTCCTAACACGCACAGTAGCTCTCTGGAGCCATACTCTGCTTCACAGCGTTATTAGGGGTTCTCTTGAACCCCCTCCTAAGCTATGGAGCAGACACTATGGCAATGAGGTTTTATAGCTATCCGTGGCGCAGTAAAGCGTTCAGAGGCAGGACTTCTTGGTTGAATTCCAGGTTTGCTACAGGGCGTATGCTTTATCAGCTAGAGACTCTGCAATCACCACCCCCTTCCTCCCTCACCTCTTAACAATCCTGCACCTCCTCTCTCTTTCTCCTTTACCGCCTCCTCCCCAGCTCCCCCTCCACCCATCTCGTCCACTCCTGAATGGATTCTCTGTACTATTCCTTCTGTACTTTTCCTCCTGTACAGAAAGACATTCCTGGAAACAAACTGTATTTTGCTGGGTCTGTGAAAACTACAGAAAATTTTAGGCTGAAAGTAAGACTTGGCAGTTACAAGAATGTAAACTCTTTTGGACAACAATGCTAACTATAAACACTATTACAAGCTATAGATAGAATACATCAGTAACACTTAGCAATTAAGGCCTTTTAACCAAGTTATCCATTTTATTTAAAAGGACATTAAAGTACATGCCTGCTAAAATGTGTGTTTTCCTCCAAAGCCAGTTTGTAAATCTTCAAGCAGTGCTGATAGCACATCTGATAATGAGTGTTTAGAATCTGCAATTCTGCTTCAATCGCTCTCTGCAGTATTTTTTGACAGTAGCTTGATGCAGAATTCTTCACAGCTTGTTTGTCAAGGTGTACCGGCCTTTAAAATAATAATAAACAAAATCTTGAATCCCTTGAATCAATATTTTACATTCATTATGTTTTATTTTGAAACAAGTAGCTTTCCAGAAGCTATTTCTGATACAATTTAAGGAAAAAAAAGAAAAGAAAAATCAAATCAGTTCTTCCTATTTACTACACACAAAAAAAATGATGTCTTACAGTAGCTTTCACATTGTAATCAGCCCTAACTGAGAGGTGGAAACTGCACAAGCACCATAATCTTTTCTATCCAAAAAGTGCAGTCATAAGAACAAAAAGAAACTTAGCAACTCTGTTGATCTACAGACACACTTATTTTGCTTCCACAGTCACAGAATAATTTAGGTTGGAAGGGATCTCTGGAGGTCTGCAGTACAAACCTGTGTTCAAAGCAGGGCTAACTTCAAAATTAGCTCAGGGTCTTATCCGGTCCAGCTTTGTTGTTGGGTTTGGGTTTTTTTTGTTTGTTTTAAGTCTCCAAGAAAGAAGACTGTACCATCTCTCCAATGCTGTTCCAGCACTACTCTCACTGTAAGAAACTTTTTCTTATACCCACTTAGAATTGCCATCACTGTAAAAGGCTCTTGCCTTTTCAAAATGCACCTCTGCAAAGAATTTAACTCTGTCTTCTCAGCAACCCACCACCAGATTGCCAAGAACTGCAGGGAGGTTCCCCACCTCCCCAGCCCTCCCTTCTCTGGGCTGACCAAACCCAGTTTCCTCGGCTCTCCCCACACATCAGGTGCTCCACCAACTCCCCTCACCAGCTCCATGGTCCTCTGGTGGGCCTTCCCCAGTCTGCCAATCTCTTTCTTGCACTACAAGGCCCACAGCTGGAGATACCTTTCCAGATGAAACCTCACGAGCACCAAACTGAGAAGAATCAACACTTCCCTCCATCCGCTGGCTGCGCTCTTGCTAATGCAGCCCCAGGATGTGGCTTCCCTTCTTCACCATATGGGAGCACTGCTGACTTACACTCAGCTTGTTCTTGGCCAGCCAGACCTGCAGACCAAGGCTGCTTTGGTCTTTGTTCAACTTCAGGAGGTCTTCAGCTCATTCTTCTTGCATGTCCATGTCCCGCTGAAAGGCAGCCCTACCCTCCATCGCAGGAGCCGCTGCCCAGCAATCTTTTAGTACCATCAGTTTTGTTAAGTCACGGACAACCTTTCATTCATGAAAAAAAAATCTTATCTAGCATCTAGAATTCCAAACCAAGAACAATTCATGACCCACCTGTCAGCACTTATCTTTAAATCGCTGCTACAAAGCTCATTTTTTGATTCCCGCTGTTCCTAAACAAAAAATGTTTAAAAAAAGTTACAGATTAACATTTGTATAGACAAGTTCTGAGCAACTTGAAGTTAAAAAAAGTTCTATATATCAAAATATATTATGGTTATGGTTTCTTTTTTTAAATTACCTGTATTTGTGAACTTCTTTCAGCTGTTGCAGTATTGCCATTTGAGTGTTTTTCCAGCATCTCAGTAAGCTGTGACTGAATTTGCACCGTAGTACCGGCTCCACATGACCAGTCTGTATTGCAAGCAACGTCTGCACAGGTTTCATGGCGCCATCCCACAGGTCGAGATTTGTTCATCATTGTTATCTCTGTATTAATAGCCCTGGACGAGAGACAAACCTGAGCACTGGTACTTCTGCTTGTTGTAAAGCAAGCTCTAAAATCCGAACTCACATCAACAGCCTGGCTAACCATAGAGTCACTGGTAATGTTTTTCAAGTTTCCACAATGCTCCAACTCCGAGTTCAGAGAGCTGGTATTTCCATGGGAGGATTTATCTGCAACTTCCACCTCAAAAAAGGGATTCTCACTAGTGAGAATTGCAGAGACTGGAAATTGGGTTTCGGCATCCTTTGCAGTGCAGTCAACGCAGATGGCACCATGTGCGCACACACCAGATTCTTCACAACTGTAGAAAGCAGAGTCCCCTGCATGTTCACAAAATTGTATGGCTACTGCAAGGGCCCTCTCCCGTAGTGACAGCAAAGGATTGTCTTGCTTCACTGAGATGCTGTGAATGTGTCTGTCATTGTTTTCAGACACTTCTTCACTTGTAGCCGTTTGGGGTGGCAGCGTGCCGTCAATCAGTGCAATGTCTTTCACCTCTCCATTTTCTAAGCTGTCACATACAAGCGGATTTGGACAGACCCTTTCTTTACTCCTATAAGCACGACTTTCAAGTATACTTCCATAAACAACACTATGATACTCTGTTGGCTCTTCCTGATGATCACAAGTCATGCCATTGCAATCTGGAAGAGACAGAGAGTCCTGAAGCAGGTGGGGAAGCTCTGGCATAGCTGCTTCTGGGCAGGTCTGGTCACCTACGCCATACTCAGAAGCAGGAGAACAATCTTCTGACACGTCAATGAGATTTTGTTCCTTTGGGACTCCCCCCCCTGGAACTTCATGAACTGGATCTATCAGCTTTAAGGTTTCAATTCCTATAGTTTCCTTTTGCTCAGAAAACTCACTTGAGCTATTCTTATCATCAAAATCTTGCTCGTGAGCACTGAGATACTCCAGCTGTGAATCTTCACCTAAATGGCTTTGTCTGCAATCATCACACACCCCACAATTAAAGTGCATATTGTCGCATGCCCTTCCCAACATAGCGGCTTCTTTCTTGCTTTCATCTACTTGCGCACAGCAAATTCTCATTCTCTTTTTATTATACATTTCAATATATGCATCTAAAGATGAACTTAAATAAGGTAGGCTTTCCTCTGACAACTTTAATTCTGAAACATTGACAGAACGTGCCTGGCCAAAACCAGAGTGGTTAGCTCCTGCTGTAACATTTCTGACAAGCGTGTGCTCAGCTTCCTTGGAATAAGAAAAAAGATGGGAGGTCTGATTGAAGCATCTCCTTTTGCTGTTAACATCGCTGTTCTTTTCTAATTCCATGGTACAAACACTTAAGTCCTCCTCCTCAGAAGTGATCCACAGAACTCACTTCCACTGCAATCTCTCAAAGTCATCAGCTTGTCTCTTCCTATCAGTTTCTCACCTTAATAAAAATAAGAGAAGTTCAAGATACTCCATGGTGTACAAGAGGCCATTACTGTTTAAAAAATATCTTAAATTAACCATCTTATTATTACCTACTGCATGCTAGTATAGAAGCTAAGAATTACACGGTACATTCTCAAAGAAATCCTAAGAGCTCATGGAAGGCTGTTAAAAGAATTTGCCGTTCTTGCTTGTGTGATTTCAAATGAGCAAAAGCATCCTCAGAGACCAATCAATACTATCTTCTCAACTCTTGGGCAAAGTTTCCATCCTCTTACCACTGAACCATTTCTTGGCTGAGTCATCAGAATCCCTGTTGATACACAGAGAGCTATTTACATCGTACACTAACTTCATGACAGCACACAAGGTGTTTCAATGCACGTACTGACTCTGAGAGTCAGGTTACTGACGTTATCCTGGATTCAGTGACCACAAACTGACCTCACATCACTGATTGTATACTTTCCTGTAAGCACTCCTTGCCACAGAAAGCTTACAGCTTTCCAAGACCGGTATATTTACTGTAGGGAACATCCTCCAGTCCAGGAGCTATGAAAATTTTAAAAACTACTTAAATGAGTGAAGAGGTGAACTTAGAGCTCTGTGCCTTCTGAGAACTAAAAACCCTTCAGATGTTGGACAAGGGGGAAACAGAAGCATATTCCTTTTAATTCTGGGGAAACAAGAAGAAATGGTTATCGAGCACAGAACCACAAGAAAACCCAAGAATCTTTACAACCAAGAAGTGTAAGACATAAGGGAAAACAGGAAGATGGTTTCTTAGATCAGAGCGCTTCTTTTAGCTACAGAAGAAAGCTGGACAATACACCAAACCAAAACAATACACCGGCTCTGGACTTGCAACAAACCTAGTTTTATAGCAAACATGAACGAAAAGCAGAGAAAAAGCATGTAAGGATGGAAGGGATGCTCTTTGTGAAGCTTGTTTCTTACAAATGGTCGTCAGTTCTTCTCTGCCTTCCCCCAAAGCTCATAATGAAGAGAGGGATACATAGAAACATTAGACATTTCTCAGTTAGGTGTGCTTTCTAAACTACTGAAACGAAACATAACAATTTTATATTATAGTCACAGGTCTCTAACCCGACTATAATCTTACATAAAGCATAGCAAAATACAGTCCTGCCTGTAACTCTTCCCCCTGCGAGAGCATGCAGACCAACCAACAGGCCCATAAGCTGGGTTTCATATGCTTCTAAAGACACAAGTCACTGGTTCATCCTCCAGAGGAAGTTTCCAGCTTGGTGAAACACAGTCCATAAGGAACTGAGTGAAGTACTGAAGCGAGACACAAGCTGCTGGTGGAGCATGAGGGGAGACTGGAAACTCAGGCCTGCTTCTTGGCCACTGCTGTGGGATTAACGTACAAGTTACGTGAGCTCTGTCCACTCCAGATACAAACAGTGTGACCCAGGCCTTGTATCTGCACAGGAAGGTTTGCAGAATGGACCCCAAGAGATAACTTCATGATAGCCCTTCTTCACGGGGAAAAATGGCTTGTCTCTCGAATCTGCATCCACTCATTCTCCTCCGCTAAGGATCAGCATTAAAATGACATCATTTAAAATCACTTTAATAAAAATAATTTAAATCATTTAACAGAAGTCATCAACAGAAGTCAGCCACCCTCCAAAAAAAACCTTATCACGATGTTATTATGCACCTCTATAGTTATTTGTGTTTCACAAACGTTAGCTTTTTTATTACACTAACTTTACCTTCATCTCCTAACTGAAGCTTTGAGCAGGTGTATCTGTGAAATTAAAACTCTTGCCCTAACACTGCCAAAGCACATCTCAGATGGCTATACACAAATTACAACATATTGTCACAGAGAAGTGACTTTTTCCCCCCAATTTTTTCCTTAAGAATGAGTTAAGAAACAAAAACCACAATAGCTCTAGGTATTCCCTAGATAAATAACAATAACCTTGTTGTTACTACTACTGACGCAGCTAGATGCCTAACAACAGCCAAGTCGGCTAGAAACCAGCACTGATGTTAAAGCACAGGCTCCACTCCGCAGTGCAGCGCGGAGAGCCACAGCTGAGCCCCCGGGGGGCGGGGGGGGAGCTCAGAGCAGGCCGGTGCCCCCGCTCGCCCAAGGGGAACCCCAGGCAGAGAACCGCCGCTCACAGCGCTCACCCCCGCGCCAGGGAAGGCTGA